AAATAAGTACTTTCATCACAGACTAATGCAATTATTAATGATGTAAGTATTTTCTTTGATTAATCAGTTTAGAGTTATTATTTGGTTTGTAGGAATTCAGTCACATTTACCCACAATGCCTGCTCTGTCCCTCCATCCTCACAACGCTCATGTTTTGTTTGAGAAAATCTTAATTTCAGCTACAAGCAAAGTTATCAGATGAGTGTAGTGGGTTAAAAACTACAATTTTTCCCTCTGAAACGAAGGCAGAGGAGAATAAAGTGACCTGAAATGTACACACTCCAGTAGAGTTACCTCAAATCTGCAAGTACAGCACATCAATGAATGCACTCAGTAAAAGCAAGTTCATGCTTTCTGCAACCACGTGTCCACACAAAGCTCTATGTGACACGCGTTTCACAGACTGCTAAAGTCTCCATGGTGTGTGGATATTTGTCTACAATTTGTGACTAAGCAGACTGTCCACACTACAACTGTTCATGTGTTGTTTTTGTAGTTTTACTGATGTGTTTTGTTTGTGGATTTAAAAAATAAAAAATAAAATAATAATACATGAAAAATCTATAAAACATTCCATAAAATTAATGATTTCTTAATATTGTTGGGTTGTTGAAATTCATGCTTTATGCTGTTTCATACCTCAGACAGCCAAGACACACAAACTATATAGTTCTGGCTGCCCAAGATCAGAATATTTCACAAAACAAGACACTTTCTGATTTTTACAACACACCAGCGTTACCCTCCCGCTCACAGACTCAGCTGAGGACCCAAAAAGATCCCAGAAATGGTCCCGTTCATCTGATCTGCTTCAAACTTAACACTGCACCTCCACAAGTTCTTAGTGACCGACCAAGTTTGAAATATAAAAACACACCTGGTTTAGTGGAGAAGATGGAAAAATTCTACCAACTTCATAAATACAGGTGAAGTCTGGACATTTCCATCAGTGAGCGTTGAAGCCGTCAGAGCAGCCGGTGTGTCCTTCAGACGAGCATCAACCAACCACCAAAACACAACGAATGGTCTACAGGAACCACAGTCTGCCACAGACCAGTGCAGCATGAACCACTGAGGTGCAGAGGCCACCCGAAGCGACTTGCAACATGGACCACTACATTAGCCCAGGATCACAAGAACATGGACCGCTACATTAGACCAGGATCACAAGAACATGGACCACTACAGTAGACCAGGATCACAACCACATGGGCCGCTACATTAGACCAGGCTCAGAACCACATGGACCGCTACATTAGACTGGACTTCCCATGATGCACAGAGCTCTTCTCCTCCTGGATCTCTGGACCTGGAGCTTCACATTTTTGATCTTTGGTCCCTGGTCTCATCGACCTTCAAAGTATGTATTGCCCGCTATGTTTGGGACTGGAGAGCAACAAACCCTGGCAGCAGTCGGCCAAAATGGGGGGGATGCAGAGACTACAAACTGGCCTCTCCTTTCCTGCCCTGGCGTTATCTGCCCACAGCGGACACAAAATGTAGCGTCTAGCTAACAGAACAGTGGAAAATCCAGCAGCTTAAGACCCGATATTTAGTTCAGCTCAAACGGAGCTAACAGAAGGGTGAATAGTGGAAATTCTTCAGCTGGCCAGGTGTAACTGTGGCTACTCTATTACTGCTGTGTGTTTCCTCTGAATGGCCTAAAAGTTATACTGATTTAAAGTGTCTGTTTTAATCATTTATCACATATTTCTGTTTTTTTTACATGGGTAGACAGCAGCTTCTAGCTTGAACCTGAGAAGTGATGAGTTCACAATCAACCATCTTCAAACTGTATAATCAGCAACGGCACATTTGCAAAATATAGTCATTAAACAATTCTGTTTCAGGTATTTTAATCCTCGTGTTTCAGGTGATATGTGATCATTAAAATGGAATCTTAGCACTACAAAGAGTTTCCTCCTAATCAAACATCTCTCTTGTTTGGAGCTACCGAGGTCACAACTTCACCATTTTCTCTCTCCATTCTGCTGACTTCCCGTAGCCATAATCTGAATCAAATGTTTAGAACAGTGTGAGCATACAGCATGAATCACTGAACGTGTTGCTAGGTTCTAACCCTCCACTGTGCAGTCCTTTGGCCTGACATGTGGGGCAAAGGTATAGAGGAGAGACTGTGCAGCGTTCAAGGACTCTTGCCTTCAGTAGTTAACAGGATTAGCAGCTAATGCCATGTGAGGGGAGGTGTAGGCTATGATAGGCCAGTCAACACATCCTGTTGCGCAGTGATCAGCTTTGCAGTGTACCGTGCCTGGACTCACCAATTCTGGCGGCTTATATAAGAAGCTGGAAGATGATTAGATGTGTGTGTGTGTGTGTGTGTGTGTGTGCAGGTGAACGGCTGCACTGATGAAGCTTTTGAATCGATGCTAAAGGCCTGTAAGAGGTTTCACTGTAAGCCAGGAGAAGAAAGGCTACACAACAGTATCAGGGAATATCTTTTAACTCGCTGTGGCCAGAAGAAATATGACAGTAGAAATATGAGCAGAGGCTGTTTTTAATTGGTTTAGCAGCCGCCTGTAAATGGCTGTGAGGCACTGAGCCAGAGTCACGTTGTCCATTCACCTCCTGCACCAAACAGCGTCCTTCATACGAGTCGCATCCGTGGATTCTGTTTTTTCTATTTACCTCTCGGCCTGAATGTGAAGTCAGCGTGTGACATCCTAATTAATACACATTTAATGCTGTTTTCTGCATTCGGATACTAGACGAGCTCCACATGTGAGACAGATCAGAAAACCCACCATCTGAAACAAATCAATACATCTGAATCCATTGTTTTTCCTTGAGGAGTTAATCTGAATATCTGAATGTAACTCTAGTCATCTGTGTGTTTGCTAGATTAGGTGTCAGGAGGAGGGTCACCAGAGGGGTCAGAGGACGGTTGTGACTAACAGGTCCAGTAATCCCCGGCTGAGAAAATCTCCATGGTGATGAAAATGGTGATGAGGATAGTTCCCCCCTGTAGGGCATAACTCTGCCCAGTGTGCTGTCAGGACCGTCTCTGGCTGTGCAGTACAAACAACATGTCAGAGTTCATGCTACTTGGATCCATTTTGTTTTATTAAGAGACGATATAACCAGGATGGGGAATGTAGGGGTGCAACGGATCCAAAATTCACTGTTTAGCCTGAATCATGACTTTGGAGTGGATCAGCTCCTGCAGCGACTGTCTCTCTGATCTGCCTTTACCATTCATGTGAACACACGAATGCTTTGTCTTGTCACAACAGTTCAATTTAGAGCTTTTAATGGTCTGTTTTCAGTGCAGTTTGTCTGTTTTTTGTCTGTAAGCAGGTTAATGCAACAACTACCAGGGTGGTGTTTTAAACTGTGAGCTCAGCATTGACTACAGTCTCTAAGCGCTCTTGTAGTTACTGTAAAAATCCACAGCGTCAGTAAAACTGTAGCTCACAGCATGATGGTTAAACTTTAAAATGAATTCAGAGTTGACATGCGCTTGGAACCATCGGAGGGATCTGTATCTGTGAGTTTTACTAATCCTGGCAAAGAAATACATCACAAACGATGAAATTAATGAAAATCCTCTAAACAACGTCACCATAAAAGCTGCTCGTTGACTTTCAGCAAGAAACATTCAGGTGACGACGACCTTACCGTACACCTGAATCAGAACACATTAGACACTAAAGAACAGGATCCTCCTCGTATCGTCTCATGCTTCGACAAACACTCTCCAGCCTTCAGCAGCTCGCTCTGACTGTTTGGCATCTGACACTTTCTCCTGAGCGTTAAACAGCTTTTAAGGGTCCCTCCATGCCTCTGTTTCGATACGCTGGCATCCAGCCTCTGACAGCGCTCATAAATCCTGAACTATGTGCTGACTTCACCACATGGCAAACCTCTTTCCTTCCTCTGCTGATAAACACGGGACAGACTGTTTCATGGAAGACAAGGTCAGTGTCAGCTGGACCCTGATAAAGCAACTCAACATGAGTGTATTCAGGATAAATGAACAGTTAGCTAATGCAGCAAGTACACACATTTAAAGCATTTTCATTTAGACCTGTGCAAGAAACTCCAGTAAAAGAATTCAGTCAGCTGGTTGTCCAGATCCTCTGAGGAGTCATGTTGGATGGATCAAACGTTCTACAGATAAACAGCTAATGTGTGATACTGCAGGTCTGAAACAAATGGGAAAGTCCATCCATCATCTCTACACCTTCATCCTCAGTAGGGTGGTGGGGGGCGGAGCCTATCCCAGCTGACTCAGGATGAAGGCAGGTTGTTTTGTGCAGGTGTAGACTTTATATAAGAGATGGACAAACTGCTTTCCACATCACCGTCTCAGCCTTTTGAAACCAGGCAGAGCAAGAGGAGGACTCATGGTGATGTTCAGAATTTACTAAACGAACATCATGCTGGAGACGTGAAACTAGCGATGGAGACCATAACCTCACTGGGAAAATGTTTGCTGAGTAACAGATCCAGTGAGAAGTCGGGTCATTCTCTCACAGACTTGTATTCAGTCGGACATCTTTCTGCAGCCAAAGCAGCGGCCCGGTGCTGCTGTTTGAAAGAATGCTGACATAAGACACAGACATAAAACACTGTGACGGTCTGCGGGCTCAGGGCAGGTGATGTGTTTACAGAAGCTTTTTCACTGAAAGCAGACGACTGCAGACTCTGGACACGAGGCTGACTAGAAGGCTGACACTAAATAAAAAGAATAAAGTTATGAAAACTAGAACATTGAGCTGAAAGGTGCTGAAACTCTTTGCAGAGCTGAATAAATGTTTCACACATTTGTAAGCATGTCAGAGTGTGAGCGGGACCGAATCCTGATGATCATGAATCAACATACTGACTGTTGTTAAAATGAAATCAAACACTGTGCTGCAGTGCAAACAGAGAGCGTTTCACTTCATGAATACCAGCCTGTCTGCTCCAGCACTGTGTGTCCGACTACATGCAGCTTTGTAGATGAGACACAGCGAGGACGCAGGCAGCTGTGGGTTGGTGTTTTTTCCTCTTGGTCAGCACATCATCAGCCCGGCACATATATTCAGTAAATGGACTAATTTATGGGCGAGCCACTGGCTCTTTGTGGCAAAGAAGACATCCAGCAGCAGGAGCTGTGGCTGCCCAGTGGGTATCCAACACAGCTGGGTGTCTGGCTCGGCCTTACACATCCCAACACTGCACTGATTCTATTACTTGCTTTATTGTGAGGATCGTTCTCCCCAGTTACTAGGGCCGGGTCCAGAAGCCCCTCAGGAATTCAGGAGAAAAAAAATGACATCAACATCTAATGGACTTGTTTCAGACCTTTACAACTTACAAGGATTCTGTAAATTCCCACTGAAATAGCAAAGTGAAGCTTAAAGGAATGAAATAATGAAACCTTCAAAGAAGAAAAACAAATGTTGGATTTCAGCCGTTAATAGTAACGAACTGTTAATTCTTGTTTTTAACCCATAAAGAAGCTCTTCAACACATCGCCGCTGCAGAGCGACTCAGTCATTAAAATCTACATGAATTTATTTTCTTTCTTTCTAGAAAGATTTTTTTAGAAATGCATAAGGAAAACAGTGCAACACTAGAAATGTGAGACACTCTGTTCCTGCTGTGGCCGACATGTGGACCATATAGACTCCAACATTATCTACTGTCCATCTCATAGGTATCCTTAAAAGAGACTGGAAATGCAGATGATGTGTCTTATGCATCGATCAGTCAGAAAATATAGAAAGCAAATGAAACACTGTCAAAAACAATGTCAGTTTTTAACAATAGTTTCGTCCCTGCAAAGCAAACCAAAGGGATATAAGAGGTCCAGTTACACAGCTGCACTACAATTACTACAATCACACTATAATTATGACAGAGACCTGATTGTGTGCATTAGGTTGCTGTTGTGTAGCCGCCTTTCACAAAGCCTGACCTACTTCTCCGGCCCTCAGAACCACAAAATGGAAAATAGTTCATTTATTCCTGAGGTGCACTCAGGTTTCAGTGCAGCCTCAGCAGGATTGTGTAGTGTCATTATCAGCCTGTGTTTCACTCTGCTGCACACTACGGTAGCAGCAGACACACACCCTGCACCCAGCCGGCCTGCATCATAGAAACGCCTATCGACGGGATCTCTGCATAGACCTACAGCAAACATGGAGGCAGCGATAAGGATCCTGTCATAACATCTGCTGTTCTTCAGCCTTTGTCAGTGAATTATTTAGGCAACTAGGACGTACATACACACACTGCATGCACACACTGCACACACACACACACACACACACACACACACAGACACATACACATGTCTGTTTTCTAACAACAACCTGTGTTTTAGTGAGACCAGCGTTTGTTTGTTGTTAATGCTGTTGTGTACCTGTGTGTTGTGTAGTGGCTCAGGTTACAACTATAAGAACATCAGCATTATGTAGAAAACACTTCACAGAAACATCTACAAACACCTTCATCAGGCCCTACAGCTGCTACATGATGCTCAGCTTCACCTCTTCACAGTCAGACGTGTCTTATTCTACAGAACAATTCAACATGTTTGACTGTAAACACTGAACATTAAGCCTGTGAGCACTGGGCGAGGTTCAGGGTCATTTCTTTACTTTTAAGCTTTTATCATAGTCATTATGAGGATGAGCCATACATGATATATCTTTTTTTTTTTCTTTTTGAAACCCTGCAGGTTATCCAGATCCTCCAACATTAGCCCTAAGTCATGGAGCAATAAGGACTTTGTGACTTAATGAGAAAACTGGACAAGAAATTAGTAAAGAGGTCTTTACAACATGATCACTTTGGGATGTCCATTCATGTGACGCACATAAAAACTCTGGTTCTGGTTCTTGCAACATGATATTAACATGCAGATTGCAGACTGCATACTAATAAGAAGATATCAACCTATTGACATGTCTGCACAGTTAGGATGGACACAGAGCTGGATGCAGGCACGTAAAGTAAATCTAATCATATTTTTTTATCATCAACACTTTGTTCCACAAGCAAATAACGAGCATCGTTAGAAAGGTGAAGCTGTGTGTTAGAAATAATAAGAATAAATTATTAGGAAATAATGCTGAGGTTGATTGTTGTCTTTCCTTACACCAAACTTTGAGTATTGAAAATGTCTACATTCATCATATTATGTCCTTATTCTGGGCTGCAGGTGGATCAGTGGTGGTTAGCACCGTCGCCCCGCAGCTAGAAGATCCCCGGTGAGGACACCCGGGATCTTTCTGCGTGGAGTCTCCATGTTCTCCCCGTGCAGCGTGGGTTCTCTCCAGGTTCTCCGGCTTCCTCCCACAGTCCAGAAACATGTTGAGGTTAATTGGTGATTGTAAATTGTCCGTAGGTGTGAATGTGAGTGTGCTTGGTTGTCTGTCTCTAAGTGTAGCCCTGTGATAGACTGGTTACCTGTCCAGGTGAACCTGCCTTCACCCTGAGTCAGCTGGGATAGACTCCAGCCCCCACCACCCTAGTTAAGGTGTAGAGATGATGGATGGTTGGATGGATGGATGGATGGATGTTCTTATTCTCTGATCAGATATTTCATGATTTAAATAATAATTTTGCCACTTTGAGGCTATTTCATGCAGCAGAGTTGTTGTGTTTTAATATATTTTTTATCACATGTAAACCAGACTAAGTTTTTAGTACTAAAACTCTGAATCATATTTTTCCTGCCCAGTCTTCTTCAAAGCCCCAGTACTTTATCTCCCATCTACAGTCCCCAGTACACCACAACACATCTACAAACAGCAGTAAGACAGAGCAGCAGCAATAACATCAGGTTTCACTGGAACTAACACACGACTGCTGTGTGTTTATTGTTACACTGAACAAAGAACATTATAATATTTGAGATCGTTATATGATGTCCACACTTGATGATCAGAAGTATTATCTTACCCCAGAGCTGTCGTCTTGGGAACGCTGATAGCGTTTCCAGCGGCAACCATAGATCCCAGTGACAAAGGACACAAAGACCTGCTTCTCATAGACCTGTAAGGGTTGGTGTTTCACCATGCTCCTTCAGCCTCAACGCGCCACCAGTCCGTTAACATCCCACACAGCACTGGGAACCCTGAAGAACACCAAGATGTTACTAAACAAGACAAGCTTTGGAAAAGAAATTAGCTCAGTCTTTGTACATACAATTACACTTTTCATCAACATGGCATATCACGTCATGCTGCGCAGCTATATTTTCACAAAACAACACGATATGTTGACAGCCCTGGGCCTTGTTTCTACTGACAACACCTGTGAGAGGAAGTCAACACACCGTTCAGTAGTGAGTCTGGTCTACGACAGACATAATGATACGGTTTATGTTTTACAGCCACTGAGTCAGCCTTTAACCATGACAGGATTTATGGCTGAGGAACAGAGACAAATAGAAATCAGCAGGTAGGTAACATCTATCTGTGGCTATGACTTGATCCTTTAACAGGCTGAACATCTGTAAAAAAGCAGGAGTCAGAGGGAGGCGGCATGTTGCCCTCTAGCTGCCTCACAGAGAAGCTTGTTGCCGTGGTGCCGCTCAAAAATCTCCTGGCACAAGAAGTGATGTTCTTCATGGCGGCACAATACCTCGGCTCTTTGTTTCACACTCCTTCATGACCCAAATGAGGTCTTGTGTTGTTTGTTTTTTACATTCCTGGATGGAGTAACTTACAGTCAGGTTTAGATTATTGCCTAATTTTAGCTTCAGTAATCTATAGTATGAGTTATTTATGTAACTTCTACAAATAAAGCTGGATTCTTGGAATCAGTTCTCAGCTCTAGCGTGTGACCTGCAGGACCTTTCTGTCGATGACACACCTCGGTGCCACAGGGAGAGACTGGATTGACTTCGGTTTGTTAGCTTTACCACTTAGCCCCAGACCGTAACAAGGCAGCTACTGGTCTTGATCAATTGCCATTAGAGTTTTTATTTATCCTTTATGGTCCCCAGAAGATGAATCATAGTGAATCTGATTATCCCTGGCTGCTCCGACACCACCATGCACGCCAACATCAAAACCATCTGCCAAACATTGTGTAGCCGTCACAACAGCTCTGACCTGCTGGAGGACAGACACCGGACCTCTGGGATCCTCTGGGTCCTGTGGGATGGGGGTCAGGGCTCTGTGGATCAGGTTTGTTCCAGTCTCATCTGAGGAGTCTGGCGGCCAGGGCAACACTTTGAGCTATTGGTTGTGCTCCTTGAGTGGTTCCTGGGCAGTATTGGTAGTCTAGCAGAGGGCATAGTGCTGCTGGGTATGCTGGGTCTGCAGCAACGTCCAGGTGGGAGGTATGTGTTAGAGCAGGGGTCTCCAATCCTGGTCCTCGAGGGCCGCAATCCAGCATGTTGGAGATGTTTCCCTCTTCCAACACACCTGATTCACATCATCAGGATGGTTATCATATCTTCTGCAGAGCTTGATGATGAGCTGATCATTTGAATCAGGTGTGTTGGAAGAAGGGAAACATCTAAAACATGCTGGATAGGGGCTCTCGAGGACCAGGATTGGGCACCCCTATGTTAAAGTAACCTTCACATGAATGCCAGGACCCACGGTTCCCCAACAGAACCACATGATCAGAGCCATTCATGTCATCTGTCAGTGGTTTTAATGTTGTGGAAGTTGTAAATAGATCAGCTATTATTAAATAGATTACTGCATCAAGGTCCCCAGCAAATATATCCTAATGACTTATTGATCCTCTGACTTTTCCTTCAGTGTGACCCGAGGGTCTCCTGATGACAGCTCCATCAGCAGGTTGGCATTTCACGTGGGGCTGGTTGAACTGCCCTGCTGCATTCATTCCCCCCACATGATGAATTCTTCTGACTTTTCACCGACGGCTCTCTGAGAATGATATTTTTCAAAATGAAAACTATAATGTGGGCGCCCTGGAGCTCACCTGGCGACCCATGAACAGTCACCTACAGTCACCAACACAGCTGTCATGGGTTTGAGTCCAGCCCTTTGCTGCAGGTCTCCACCCTCTCCTGTCTCACTCTCTCACTATCCTGACTAATGAAAGGCAAAAAGGCCAGAAAAAAACATTTTAAAACATCTGCTACAGATATTCAACGTCCCCGGAGAATAAATTCTTATTAATTCGGTGGCAGTGAATCTCCTCTGGCACTTTCAGTTCATCAGATACTTTGGATTATGTACTAGAAGAAGTAATAACATCCCCACTGGCTCAGCTGTACTTCCTGCTAATCAGTAAATGTAAATATGCTCACACATTAAACTAAATGGTGAACCTGACACTGTGAACATTACCGCAGTAAACACGAGCATCTTAGGACTGTTATTTCTCAGTCTTGCCTCTCGGAGCCGTGATTACATCGACTGAACCTCTAAAACTAATTTCTGTGTTTTGCAGTTACATGTTTAGAATTACTTTCCATGAAAATAATCATTTTAAATGTCCGAGATGTGACTCCACACCTTTGTGTTAATTAAAATGATGATGAGGTTTCCACCGTGGGCTCTGGTCTGACAACTGTGAGTCAAATGTGTTTGAACTAGTAACCGATTCTGAAAACACTGACCTGCACATGCGTCACAGTGGTCATGTATTATATGTACATCGCTCTTCAGCATTAGCAGCGTAGCGGTACTGGATAGCCTCGATTTGCTTTTTCATCAAACAGCTAATACGTTAGATCAAGACTCACAGTTTCTCCTTTGTGACAGAAAACCGAAAGTTTCTCCCCGTCGTTGCTTCGCCTCTGATACAGAACATCATTAGGTTTATTGTGTTTGAAACCCTGGTGGCATAAATCTGTGTTTTTGAGTCTGCACTGTGGTTCCGAGGCAGAAACACTCAGACACGGTGTAGACGACAGGAATCAATAAAGAAATAACACACGAGCCGTATTTCAAAGACAAAATCTGACCCTGGATCTGAATTTGGATGTAACCTCCATAAAAAGGATGACAGATAGCACAGGGTCAGGCTGAAAAGATCTCCTTTATGTAGTTGTCATGGCAATTACCTAAATCTGAACAGCTGGTAGAGGACGCTGCTTGAAAAGAAGGCTTCGGACACCTCACATCTTCTACATGGTCTGAATCAAAGTCAACAGCGGATCTTTGAAGAGAGCACAAAGTCACTCGTCTCTCTGGCTGATGTTAAAGCAAGCAGCTGTCTTATTTTAGAGGGATTTCTTTGAAATGCTTCCTAGAGAACGTCTCAAAGCGCACCTGTAAAGTCCACTGAGGGGAAAGCGTCACTGGAGTTTGCTTATAGGGTCACAATCATCCCTCGCAGGTAACGATAAGCCTCGATTGTACTTGGAGGCACACTTGGACATCTGCAGACGCCACAAACATGCAGGTGTTGCTATGATACGACCTACAGCCAACTCTGAACTCCGTTCTATATCTATACGTGTTTCACAAAGTAAAGGAGACCTTGCAGACAGAAATTTTGGCCTGTATGCAGATTGTCACTGGCTTGAGCAGAAAACATTTCCATCACATGGACCTTTGCATACTCCTAGACATGGATAGTAATAGAGCAGTGCTACGCTTCCCATGTTTGCAAGCAGGAGGGTCCACATGATGTCACTGTCATCATCTCCCCAAGTTCACAGGAGTGTGTAAGGAGTGTATGGAGGTCGATAACAACAGCAGCAGTGCACATGCTTGGCAGTGGTGCACTTCTACAAATACATAGACATGAATTACAGTGCATGTATGAAACACAGTGGAGGAGAACAGAGAAGTACTGCAAGGCCAGTGCTATACTTTCCACAAGTACGCAAAGGTCTGTTTGGGTCCAAAGCAATGTAATTTCCATAAGTCCGTGTTGACCCCTCCACATGTGGAATAGATCGGGTCTACTGTGTGTGTATGGAACAATAAAGTCGTATAATAACAACAACTGCATGTCTGTTGTGTCTGCAGCTATCCATCAAGTACACTCATGACTGACGCTGGCGCTGTGCACACACCCTGAGGTGCCCTGTATCAATAGGAAACATCCAGTGAGACCAGTACCGGGGTGGCACTGCACCGGGCCTGGCGTGGCTATTTAACAAGCCCACCTCAGACTCTCCAGCCACAGATAGAAACGGAGCCATCTGGTGCCGCCGGTCCGACTGCAACCTTCTCCACGGCTGCTTGATTTCATCTGACCAAGCTTTGAGGACGAGGTTTTCTACAGAGAAAATTAATCTCATCCTGATAACTAAGCTCGGCTGAAATAAAACGTCTAACATTTTATTTTTATCTCTTTTGATAAGAGGCCGCAATAAATGGCAATTTCCCTGACAGATAAGCACCAGTTTCCTGGTCAACGATCCTCAACAAAACAAACTGCTCCTTTGTCCTTATCTCTAGGAAGAGAAATTACAACATGGCAGGAGGACCGGGCTAAATCTGGGCCTGGATGTGTTCGTGTGCAGCAACACTCCGTTTCCATATCAAGATTTTAGGATGCAAAAAACGGAAAGCAATTAGGGAAGGAAAATTTCGAATCAGCATCACATTATAGCAGCTCTTTGAGGCTGTACTTGGACAGAGCAGTAGATCTTTTTCACAGCAGACAATCTGACGTGTCAGCAAGAAAAGCTCGGGTGGAAAATGAATGATGGCTCGGTTCCATTAGGTGGCCCCGTGATCCAACCAGCACGCACAATAGCAGGGCCTGTTCTGAGTGGAACGCAACCACCGCAATCACACCTGTTCTCACCCTGATGTGACATTTAAATTGTGTGCGATGAAGAATGTTTGAGGTAAATCCATCACGTGCTAACATGGCAACAAGGCTTATTACGTCTGTCATGCAGGTCAGCGTGTTTGGATGCTAACATTTGCTCATTAGTCCCTGAGACCAAAGAGAATGTCATTCATTTTGCAGGAAACTGGTTGAAAAGTTAAGAGATGACCAGAGATATTAAGCTGCCTCCTTTTAGCATCAGATTTATTTTGTGTATAGAGGAAACTTTCCCAAGATGTTTTAGCCAGCAGCAGGAAAATCACCAGAATGCCAGAATGATAAGAATAAAAAAAGCAATTTAATTTTTTTTAAGTTTTGTTCATTCGGTATATTGTCAGGATTAACAACTCTAATTTTACAATGCGTATTGCTGGATAATATAAAATAATATTAATAAAGATACTGACAATGGCTGAAATTCAGGGCTTGAGTTGGACAAAAACCAAAACTCTTTAAAGAAGGTTAAAGGAATGTCATGTTTCAGGAACTTCTCTTCAAACAGACCTTTTAACTGTCTCAGAGAAACTGATAAAAGTGACATAATGTAAACATTCTTACGTTGGATGAGCGACATTAGATTTTTGCCGTCACGCTGTACAGCACTGAAGCCGTGCATCCTCAGTGTGTGAATGTGAACATCAGTGTGGGATTTACTGCTAACCTAAACAGTCTTCAAACAGGAAGTTATTGTGCATCCACCTCGCAGATCTGCATCCTTTCATTGCTGAGTGCTTATTATATGGAAACTCCCCCGCCTGAGGGAGGTTTCTGTTGGATTCAGAGGAGCTGGCAGATTCCCAGCATTCACATCCTGACCCTGTCCTCAAAACAAGGGCCAACTGGAGCTGAAATCACAGCGGCCTTATTCCAGCCAGGTTGGCCTATTGTCTGTCTGCGTAACCATGGAGCTATCATCACAGAGCTGTGGTCATCGTGAGGTAAACTAGAGCCACTCAGGCCCAGACGAGGAGCTCCACTCGTCTGTTCCTGTGCAGGTTTTGACATCTTTAGCAGGAAATGAACACATTTCCACGTGCGATCATTCTAAGAGTATTAAGGCCGCTTCACTTTATGCATTGTGTAAAAAGAATAACTTGAATAAAACATTGATTTAATCTCAATAACCCATAATGACTCCATAAAAACATGTTTGTTTTTAATTTATCAAAATTAAAGCTAAAGTTTCTCATTTACAAAAGCCTGGAATAGTTTGCCTCCTGCTTTCTTTATTTCTCAAAATGTATTTAGAATTGGATCAGGGTCCATCTGAGAGGAACTGAACTGACTGGACTGGAGGCACACCCTTCTATATAAGGTCCCACAATCCATAGTGCCGGTTAGGATAAAAACCAAGCCATGAAGTCTACGGACTTCTCTGGAGGCACAGGGTTTGCACAATGGCCACAATAATTATGGAACCACAGGTATTCCTCCTAAAGTCAGCCAAACAGCTGAACAGAGGACATCGAGAACCCAACAGTTACTCAGCAGAGAACCTGCTGGAAGGAAAACCATCTCAGCAGTCCTCTATCAAAGAGTTTTTCTGGTAGAGCAGCGAGATGGAAGTCACTCTGAGCAACATATGAAGACACAGGAATGTTTGGAGTTTGTAAAATAGTGTTTAAAGGACTTTGAGAGCACGTGGAAATAAAATCTCTGCTCTGATTAGGCAAAAACTATCGAGAGAACTTGTTGAACATGAGGCGCCGCTCAACACGTGCTCATAACGCAGAGTGAAGCACGGTGGTGGCAGCATCATGCTTTGGCGGTGCTTCTTTGCAACAGGCACAAAAAGATCAGAACAAAGGGAGGAATGAATGCAGCTAAATACAGAGGAGCTGTTGCTCCAGAGTGCAGCGACCTGACAACGGGATGATGGTTCACCGTTCAGCAGCACAAAGACCGACAGCATGCAGCTAGGTTTAGTTTTAACTTCAATCCTTCTGCAGCGAGTTCTTAAAACACGAATTTGTGTAGATTGATGGAAAAACTCACATTTCATTCACTTAAAATTACATCTCCAACATAATAAAACGTGCAGGAAGACAAAGAGGACTGAATGGTTTCTGAAGCTGAAGACACATGTTAAAGGGCTGCAGCTATGAAGAGTTCCTCTCTCCAAATCCCCCTGCTCATCGTTCCTTTCCATTAATCATAAATTCAACAAAAGGAAATAAGTCTGGGCTGACCAGAGGTCCCTGATGTGGATAAATGAAGAATTGAATGTTTTATTCAGGAGCTACAGGTCAGTGTTTCTGTCTGACTGCTGCTATAGTCTGATGCTCTGATGGAACAAAGTCATGTAGATAACAAAGACAAAACCTGTTGAACCCAAAGTAAAATAAAAATTAAAGTCTTTCACCAGCACATGACAGAAAAGGAATCTGATCATAAAAACATGGGCAGCCTTTGAACACATTCCTCCAATACGAGTTTTATTTAGTAGTTTCAGTAAATATAATAATATTACTGGACGACGTGGGATGTGACGTCAGTAAACGCTGGTTCTGTTTGGTTAGAGCCGTACGGGAGCTGTGATGAGTCAGCAGTGTACTTACAGCAGCAGGAGCAGTTCTGTTGATTGGACTCTCTGGTCTGATGTGCCATTAATGTTTAATGTGTTTTCTATTGTTTCTTTTAGCTTCTGTTACAGGCTGTGTACAGTGTAGTCAGTGCACTCTGTCAGGACATCAGGACAAGCCTGAAAGATGAAATACTTCATTGCTGTTCCTCCAGTCAGCACCTTGTTAAAAAGCCTATCTAAATATTACTCTGATTTACCCGGGCTCACCTGTCCTCAGTCTGGGACACAGCCCTCGTGGGCTTTCTGCTGGCTTCAGGCCCGGTTCCTCTGATGAACCTGCCATTCGTCTGAGAGAACTTTACTACGATCCTTGTTTCCTTGCCAGCCTCTCAGAGTAACCTGGTTACGGTCAACACGCCTCCAAGGCTGCAGGCGTCTCGCTGAGTTGTCAGCGGGGCTCCGAGTATGCACTCGCTGAATAATAATACAATAATCCATTAAGTCTCAGCCGACCAATCGCCACGGAGCCTCGACCATATCTGTCTATTATTAGCCTTTTATCTCGGTCACCGCCGTCTCTTTCCAGGCTTCCATCGTTCACTCCTTCATGAAATTTATATATGCATGCATTAATAATATCCTTAATCTTTCAGTGGATTTAGCCAAAAATAGAGTTTCCATTAGTGCTCGGGGCTCATTAAGCACGGGGAGGAGCAGAGGGCCGGGGCTGGAAACAAAGCGGCTCTGGAGGCCAGCGAGGTTACCAGCCAGTGATCATCAGGTGGTCAGAAGACTGGAGGCATCTTCTGGGAGGCAGAGTGAGATCCTGCTCTCCTGCCCTGCACCTGTGAAGCCTCTGATTCAGTACAGGTGATTTAAACCTGACACAATACAAGAGATGCTGCAGGAAGGCCAGGACGCAGAGGGAGATGAAGGATGGTGGTCAAACATGAGGGTCATGAGCGGTGTGAGACGACAAACCTGATGTTCAGACAGGTGTTAGAACTCCACAGTAATGGCTCAATCAAACCTTACTTCTTTACTGAACCACATCAGACCTTATTTTAAAAACTAAACGCCTGATGGATTTTTTATTCTAATTGATAGCAGGGCTGCAATAATGACTATTTTCCTTATTATTACTTTACTTTGTGAAAAAGTTCCTGTTATAATCCTGCTTGTTTTGTCTCTGTTCATCACACAAAGATGCACATCACATTTTCAAACCTGAGAAATCAGAACTTCAGCTTGAAGAGGACTGAACATGGCAGGTGTCCAAACAGGTGCTGATTATTTGTCTTTCGATCTGATCATTGAAGCTCTAGTGTACATAAACTACCCTCAGTGTTTGTTCAGCACAACATTTTGTCATTTTTGTGTACTACCACATATCAACAGTGTTGTTTTTTTCTCCCACAGGTGTTGCTGAAGTTACCAAACAGAACTGTTCAGAGCTGTCTCCATTCACTCCCCTCCAGTCATTTAATGTTTGGAACAGTTCTGGTGATGCGTAATTCACCGTCAGAACATTGGAACGGGCTAAAACAGGGATCTGATGGTTTTAAAACATAAATAAGATCCAGTGAGGACAGACCACTCGAGTCAATTCCACGAACTGATCACACAACAGACTCGGTGCCGGCTGAGTGAAGATAATCCGATCAAGTGCGCACAAACACTTACCTCGCCTCCACTGCAGCCTTTTTATCCCGATCACTGCTCACAAAGTCAGAGGTTCTCGGTTAATGAGTTATTTCCGTGGAAGTTGACATAACGCTGAGTGTTCGCAGCAGTTCAGGGACTCGCAGGAGACTTTGGAGCGGCTCTGAGCGGCTGCGTGAGGCCGAGCGGCGGCGGCGGCGCACATCAGCCCGCGTCACGCTGAACGGAGGAGAGCTGCTGCCTGGAAGCACCGAGCGAGCCGTCTGAGAAAGTCCAGCACAGTTAGTTGTTGGATGAAGACGCACCTCCAGGAGCGTTCACGGCAGAGTTACGGGCTGTAATCCGCGAGGCACGGAGGGGGAGGAGCTGTGCGCCACGCTGCAAGAAACACGCAGCCTGCGGAGGTTTAAGGCTGAAGCACCGGACCGACAGGAGGCTGAGAGGAGGGTTTTTTTGTAGTGTGGATCATGTGTCTGGCAGGTAAACGACCTGAGCAGCTGGCCTGCACTCCTGCTGGACAGACAGGGATGATGATTGAGGTTTTTGTGGTGATTCACGTGAAGCTTTAAAGACTTCACAAGTTGACTTAATAAAGCTTCAACTCAAACTTTATAAGGAAACACACGGATCAAGCACAACACTGAACCTCTGACAACACAACTCATTACAACACAGTGTTCTGCTGCAAACCTCAGGTCCTTCCATTCATGTGGATGTTGTTCTGGAACATCTCAACACCTAAACATGAGCTTGTTGCAAGAGCTTGTGGGCCATCCAGGGTGGCCTGAACCTGCGTGGGTGTCTGGAGAAAATCTATGCTAACAGAGCTTGAGCAATGCCCAGACACTGTTTGCTGTGTTGGTGCACTTTGAGGCAACCCTGCACTCACGGCTGTTGGATCCGACCAAAGCTGAGTGGGAGGACAGTCGGTCTGTTTCTCTACTCATTCACACCACCTTGCACCTGCAGTGGTACCCAGCTATTGTTCCAGACCGAGCGCCGTGTCAACAGCACCTCCTGACAGCAGTAGCCTCCCCCAGCAGGACAATGAACCCTGCCGAAGGACAAACACTGCTCAGGACCAGCTCGAGTAGCACAACAAACAGCCCAAGGTGTTGAGCTCGCCTCCTCCTGATCCCAGACCCATCTGGCATCTGCTGGATGTGTTGGAACAATCTCGACTAACGGAGGCCCCAGTCCACAACCATACGACCCAAAGCATAAACCGCCCATGTGCTGTAGCCAGACACCACAGGACACCCCCAGAAGTCCAGGGTCCATCCCTCAACGAAATCAGAGCTGTTATGACAGCACAAGAAAGACCAGCAGGCGGCTTGTTTTGTGGCTGATAGGTTTAGTTTTTGGAGAGGACTGCAGAGGGTGTGAACTGTGGAGGCACCTTTACTGGATGACCAACATCAGGCTGGTACCAAACAGACAGACTGCTGCCTGTCAAGTCTTTAACTAAGGTTTAGAAAACACTTCATTAATAAAACCTTAAGCTGCAGCTTAAGTTGCACTTGATTTTTACATTTCAAGTTGGACTCATTAAATAATTACATGGAAAACAAAATCTAGAATCCAGATCGGCCTTAATGTCTGGAGACAGAAATCCATTCAGTTACATCAAACTGTGCACAAACAAATATGTGGTTCACATTGTTTGGAAGCAGCAAGTGTCATCTTCTTTCTGCAGACACAAATCAGGCATTACACATTAAAATTACAGCGGGATGAGACAGATGCAGAGGAGAAGTTATCTGGAGTCATCTGAGATGTGTATCTCTTCCTGCTCTGTTCGCTCTCTCCTGCCTTTGTTTGCTTCGTTTGGACAGCTTGGACAAATGTGTCTAAGGACGGATTCAGGGAGCGAAGATAAGAGAGGACAAATGTGAGAGCGATGTCGTAGCGCTCACTGAGTCGAGAGGCATTTCTGTGCATGTGTTGATAGATCCTATCCTCACTGACAGATGCTCCTCCGTCCAGCCAGGATGTTGTGAAGAGGACGGCTGGCATTGTCCAGGATGGACTGCGCTGTGATGCATGCGTGTCCTTTAACAGAGCCGGCCTTCCTTCCTGCTCTGGTCCAGCCGCCTCGTGCTCATGCTGCCACCTCAGCAGGACACAGAGAAGAACACTGGCTTCCACTGATGGGTCGAACATGTATAGAGTTTCACCTGAGAGTGAACAGCAGGCTCTGCCCCTCGTGGTCCAGGGAATCTGTGTCGGCTGAACAGACCAGCTTGTTGCCTAAGTATTTACAGGTTTGCACCACTTCAGCGTCCTCCCCTCTGATGTGACTGGCTGGAGCGGGGCTTAGAACTGTGATGGTCCATCTCCTTGGTCTTGGAGATGTTCAGCAGGAAGCACTCATCGGTCACTACCAGTAACCACTCACTGAAGGCCCCATGGGTCCCTGGACACCTTTCTGCCCATTCCTAGTGCACTCCACAGTAGCGATGTCAGTAGAATATTCTAAATGTGGCAGGACTCAGATCTGTAGAGCCAGAGGAGAAGGTTTAACACACAGCAGAGGTACGGAGGAGGTTCAGGACGTTAGCGCCGTGTAGCATGCCTCACATTCAAGCATCCAGCTGCACTGTGAACGTGCTAAATCAGGTATGCTGCGAGCTGGGAGTGTGGGTGGAGAAGTCCTGAGGAGGAGATCAAAGGGGGATAAGAGAGAAATAATTTAATTAAACTTCTCTGTGGGGGGTGCTGGAGGAGGGAGGGCTGGCACTGGGCCCCGTGTCCAGGAAATGTTAGAGTTTCCTGGAATGTGCCAACTGCTGGAGAGGTGGGGAGGAGGTCTGGAGATGAGTGGGGGAGAGTTTCCACACAGCAGGCAGGAGCTGGAAAAACTGGGGTTCAGATATCTGGAGAGATTATATATCTGACACTTGTTTGCATTCTTTTTGTGCTATTTTACTGCTGCTCTGGTTTGTTGAGTTACTGCCTACAGTGTGTGTGTGTGTGTGTGTGTAATGTTGATATGCCTAGTGAACTCTCAAACGTGAACAATCCTGCATTTACCTTCCATTTCTGACACCGTCCGGTCAGTCTTAGAGGCCTTTGTGAGCATTCAGTCAGAGTCGTGTGCTTTCTTTTCCCTTTTGTGCCACTTGACTTTTCAGTGATTATCTTCATCTCTGAACAAGACTCTGGAGGCTGTGCATTAAAGCAACACCTGGCAAGCAGGTAGAGCAGATGAGCAACGTCTTGTCAGAGATCTATTCCAGGAGCAGCAGAGATTAACCCTTGGGCTTGAGAGAATTACGTCAGATCCCTTTAATCCCAAACAATTTAGCAGTGACAGCGACAGTCCCTTTGCTGCAAGTTCTGGAAGTTTTCCTACAGACAGAACGTATGTGCAGGACAGGATTTGGCCAAATATTAGGAAAAACACGTGTTTTATTAGAACGTGGAGACAAATTAGGAGAGGAACTTAAGTCAAACCTCATGTGTGGTATTTAAATGATGCTACTGATGCTTACATTTGTGCACATAACTCATCTGATCACAATGCAAATAACATCATTCAACATGTTGTGGCAGTTCTACAAATAACAATAAAGTGTATTTTCTCCTCCTCTGTTGAACGCTAGCTCTTTGTCGACCTCTGCTGGTCATCACAGGTACTTCCACCTCTCAGCTGAAAGTCGGTCTTTCTGCCACCAGGGGGCTCCTGCCAGGCCTGCCCCCTCCCTGCTGCTCTGTTGTGCTCGCTCACCACAAGAGGACAGTGGATTTGGAAACATTGCTTAGTTTAGTTATCACATCATTCATGCAGTCATGTCAGCTGTCGTCGTCGGACTGCTGGACTCCTGGAGCCTCAGAGGGAAGCA